ATATATATATATATATATTTATATATTTGTATATATATTTATATATATATTTCTCTGCCGTCTATTTACAATCACGATGACTGCGAGCCTTCGCCCTTAAACTCTTACGGTCTACGAGTTCATTATATACAAAAGATACCACTATGAGCAACGTCAATCCGCACGGTTCCGCGAGATCACACTGAATGATTATCAGATGATACCTTAGGTACCGTATTTTACAACATTTACTAACAGTCTATACAGTCGTCGTCGGCTTGTGTCCAACATTCACCGTCATCGAAAGCACCGTTTTCCCTTTGGTATACGAGCAGATCACTCGATAATTCGTAGAAAGTCCTCCCGGTTCTCTCCATTCTCAGCACGAAGAGTTATGACACAATCTCCCGTGTATCAGAGAAAGTCTTCCCCTCTGTTACTCTGTTACTCGTGTCCTACCGACACACGAGATTCATCGTTCGCGTTTTCTCATCGCACAGAATAGTCCGTCCAGTGTGGTAAACCGAACGCGAACCCCTTGTGTCTCTGTTATCATCGTGTAGTTTCCCTTTTTGTCGTCACAACGAGAACGAAGTCACCGCGCGAAACGCGTCCGTGTCACGTTGTACCCGATCGTCGAGCTTTAAGGATGGTCTCAGATGGGTGTCGGTAGGACCGTGAAGTCCTGCAGCGCGGTTTTCACCGTCTCGTATATCGGCCGGTTCGCCTCGTCCGCGCAATAACCATCGGCGGTGCATAGTGTCTGCAGCTTCGTCAGGTAACTGTCGAAGTTCTCGTGGCCCATCTTCTCCTGCGGTCCGCCCGGGGCGTTCGGTATTCGCACGTGCTCCAACAGCGTGATCATGTTATCGCGCAGCGACTGATAGTACTCGGTCAGGTTGTTGTTTCGCTGGGTAATCGCCGTTGTTTCCTGCGGAGAAGCGAGCCTTTTTTTTACGAAACTGATTCAGCTGATTAAATGTGCGTTTCATTGATTTCATAAAGATATTAAAAGGAATTGATCTACTTGTAACGAGATCAACAGACTGCTGATGATACAGCAAAGAAATAATTACAATAACTAATCTACTATTTTTGTAAATTGCTGTTTCGTAGACTTTTTATATTTGAGAACGTTAAGTATACAAATATACATCCGTAATGCAGAGATCAATGCTGTCTACTAGGATTTTAAACTTGAACTTCGAACGAAAGGGAATCTGTCTGAGCAGCACAGATCTACGTTAACAACAAATGATATGAAAACTAAAATTTCCACAAATTCGTCCACAGCGAGTCCAATATATTATAATACTACACTTGTCTCGAATAATATCATAAATAGAAATTTCAACCCAAAATTATATATCGCATTCTGCGTGACTAGCTACCGGAAGTGCTTCTAGCATTCCTATCAGCACACGGTAATAATCGATTACCGACTGAGTACAAGCGTACTGACCTTTTCACCTTGCTTCAGCTGGTTCTCCATGGCGGTGATATCGGAGCGCAAGCGCAGCATCTGCGATTCGACCCGAGCGTTCTCTCTCTGGAGCTCCGTGATCTCGGCCTCCAGTTTGTAGAGATCCTCGGTCTGGCCACTGGCGGTACCGCTACAACTCGTGTTACCCTGACCCGTACCCACCGCACCCCCGTGAGCCGGACCACTGGTGTCCACTCCTGAAGATAGGACATACACGGTCCATTTTAACAACCTGTCAAGTCTCTGTTCTCCTTTTTTTTTTTTTTGCTTTCTTTCTTTTATATATTTTTATTTACGCTTTTCCCGATTTCCAACAGCTTTCACCCTGATTCTCGAGACACCGATTCGATCGACTCTTTGAGTTAATGCAACTGGCTATCATAAATAACGAGACGCCTGTTGGCATTCAATACGATTTGAACGCTTCTAATCTTTAGTCATATTTCTTCCGTGTTGAACGAGATTAAAGCAATCCGTCAAAATTTAAAATACGAAGTAGTACTAGAGAAATTTATCAATTGCAATAAAAATTCTGAACAGTAAAGTTCCAATTACAAAATACTCGACAAGGTGAAAGAGTTTTCTAATGATCATAGGTGTTCCGATACTTATGGCTGGCAAGCAATGATCTAGGTCAATAGTCTCGAGGATGTAAGTTTAGTTAAAGAAAACCATCGGAAACCAAGAAGCATCGATAAAATTCGATCAACCCAAAATCTTGACCGAAGCTCGTAAACAGAGCTCTGTTCACGCGAGTTTCGTACGAAAGCGAATTGATATTGCAGAGAAAAAATGTTACTAGTTAGATACGTAGTTCTTGACAAGTGTGCGGGGTTGATACAATAAAATGTGAAAATGTGGCGAGAGCGTATATGTAAGTAGCGCCAGGAAAGCTTCGGACAGCGATTTGGGTTGGTCTGCAGTCGGGTTACATTATTTCGTTCTTTTTTCTTGGTATTTTTTTTTTTTTTTTTTTTTTTTTAGAGAAACAAGTGCATTATCACATCGCAGGCTCGTTTTATCGCACGACAATGATCGCTTGCTAGGCGGTACAAGTGTCTAGAAAGTGTCCCAAGTCGCTGCATGAGGATTTTGTCTGAAATATGGGAATCGGTACGGTTTCTTCTGCGAGTGGTTCGTGCTGAAGTGATGGAAAAAAACGAGAGCTCGTCTAGTTCGCAAACGTGACAATTTTGTTCTCTCGATGAAACGAGTGACGCGTTTTAGCTCATTGACAGACGCACGAACCTGACAGGAGTGCCGCAGGAAAACAGAATGATCGGGGGACGATGTTGAGGTGATCAAAGGGTAGCGTGAGGTGCCATCATACCAGATAGAAGAAAAAAATGGGAGACACCGAGTGCTGGCCTTCTATTTTCTCAATATCATTGTAATTTTTAAGTTATATCACAAACAGAATTGTAAATCGCTTGATCAACGCTGTTAATTGGTACAACGTTACTCTCGTTATTTCTTTTATCGGTGCTGCCAACACTCGGACGTCATATCATAAAAAGTAAAATTACTGGTGTGTGGATCTTGTATGTAACACCGAAAACACATAGAAAACAAATGGCGAGTACGTCAGTCCCTTACCTTCAAAAGTAAATGTTCTCCTCAAAGCTCAATGACAGGAAAGGAGCTGATCGTGATCCCAGAATAAATCAGAATATATTATTTTTCATTATTATGACATACGGTTGCTTTCTTTCTCTTTTTTTTTTGGTCTTTACATTTTTCTCTCTTTTTTTTTGGTTTTTAGTTGTTTTGTTCTTGCACATAATAACGTGGGAGATGGGATTTCACGGGGGCCAAAATTCTTAATTGGAAGAAGCAAAGTGAACACAGTGGAAGTTTAGGTGCCCAGCTCAGGTGTTTTTCTTTTTTTCTTTTCTTTTTTTTTCATTTCCTTCTTTTTTTTTTTGTCCTTTCGTCCTTGGTCAACAAATTCCGTGCGTCTCTGTTCTCTCGTGGAAGGATATATAAAAAGGAAACAAGAAACGAACGAAAAATATCTCGAAAACACCTGGATACCAATTTCGGAGGGAATGAAGGAGGAAGCAAGAAAACATAACATTTAAATTAGAAACGATCAAAAAAATAACTGAATATACGGGTAGATAGAAATGGGACGGGAAGAAGGACGAGGTTGTTTTTGTTGGTATGACAGCACATCATTGCGTGAAGAGTAGAGTATGGCATAGCATAGGATCAAGTATAAAGGTTGTATATGCACAAGTTTACAAATAAAGTTTTAGAAATTTCGTCACGGTT